AAAAAAAAAAAAAAAACAAAAGTGTCTCAAATAAACTTGGACACTGCTTTAAAAAGGGGGGAGGGGCACAGAGATTTAGCTTAGTGGTTCCACTTCCTGCCTTGAAAGCCCAAGGACTTGAGTTCCATCCCCAGTACTGAAAAAAAAAAAAGGAGAAGGAGGAAAAAGAAAAAAAGGAAATAGTCCACCCCACCTCTTAGGATGTTACAAAGTTGCCTCCCAGGGGAGGGCAATGTAACAGTAAAAAACCTGTCAGCTTCTTTTTAATCATTTTAGCTGATCACACAACTTTCCAAATCCTAGAACCCTAAAACTGAAAGCAGAAACGCATTTGCACACCCACATTTATAGCGGCGTTCTCTGTTCACAAAACCTAAAAGTTGGAAGTAACACACACACATGTCCATCAGTACAAGAACAGAGTAATGACATGGTCCATCCACTATGGAATATTACACAGCCTTAGAAAGAAAGAGAATTATGGGTTTGGTTTTGTTTGCGGTTTTTTTTTGGGGGGGGGGTGGTACCAGGGATCAAACTCAGCTCCTTGCACTTGGGAGGAAGGCGGCAGAACCACTGAGCTAAATCCCTGGCCCCTGTTTCATTTTTGAGACAGGGTTTTGCTATGTAGTCCAGGCTGGGCTCCAACTCAGTGATCCTCCTGCCTCAGCCTCCCAGTGTGCTGGGATTATAGGCATGCGCCACTATGTGGGCTCAATGAGTCTTTACCCCACCCCATCATAGTCTGAAACTTGAGGCCATACTCTCCGTCTGCTCTAACACTACCTGGCGTCTGGGCTCTTGTCCTTCCCTGCCTGCCCCTTCCCTAGGATTCCCTCTTCTGCTTTGGGCTCAGGGAACCCCAAGAAATCCTGCGTTTCCTATCCACTGGATCTACCCTGATCTGCTTCCATCCGCTTCTGTGACTTCCGCTTTTACCAGGAGCCAGGAACAAGCCACCCACCCTGGGTGCGCCTGGAGCAGTGGGGTCCCCTCCACATTCAGGCACCTGCTCCGCCCTCCGAAGCCTGTCCGTCCCCAGGGAGCCACCAGGGGCACTCGTGAGTGGCCACGGCTCCCTTGGGTAAAGTCGAAGTTCTATGGCATGCACGTGTCCTGTCCCACTGACATCTAAGGTCACCGCTGCAGCCACCTGCACCTCGCAGATGAACCCCCTCTGTAGAGAGAAGCTGGCTAACCACACTTCCTTAGTCCATGAGGTTCATGGGTCAGACACCTCTAATTTTGTTTATATATATATATATGAATGAAAAGGGCAAATACTAAGGCTGTCACACACTACATCCGTGCAGAAGCATCTGACAGACCCAGGCTCCTATCCCACACTTACACTGTGCCCAGGGAAGGGGACACCTCTCTAATGGGAGTTTGGAGCTGGGCATGGCGGTGACGCCTGAAATCCCAGCACTTGGGAGGCTGAGGCAGGAAGATCCCCATGAGTTCAAGGCCAGCCTGGGTTACATAGTGAGACCCTATCTCAAAAAAAAACAAAGAAAGAAAGAAAGGGGTTGTCACTCTTATTCCTAAGTGGAAACTCAAGTGGGACATTAAGCTGCAGTCCTTGAAACTGAACACAAAACAAGCCCTCCTTATACCAGGAGGGCTAGAGCCCATCAGAGTATCAAAGGCTCCCATGAAGGGCACCTGAGAGGCACCAGGTCACTGTGAATCCTGTCACCATTCTGAGGGCTGCAGGCTGAGTTCACATGACAACAACAGCATGCTGCCCCTCCCCAAGTGACAGCCCTGTCCCTTCATTCCCCTAGGATTTCTAGAGCCAACCCTGATCCCCAGCCCGGGCCAAGACCCATTTCCGTGACTCTGGGCTTTTTGCTGAAGCCGGAGTCAGCAGGGGACCCAGCCTGGTGCAACCCCCTGCCTCACCAGGACCCGGCAGGACACGGCAACGGAGAAAAGCAGCCACTCACCTTGGAGATGGCAAACAGGGAGTTGTCGAAGGACATGTCTGAAACAGATAGAGTTCGGTCAGGACGGTGGCTCCGCTTCCCCCTGCCCCACAGTGAGGGCGTGGGACCTGTCTCCCGGCATCCTCTCTGCCCATTTGTAGGCCTGGTATGAGGCTGAGCTGGTGGTGACCCATCCCTCCAGGCCTTCTCCCTCTTTCCGCAGGAAAAACAGGTGCCTGTCAACTCCTGCTTTCCTGAAGGAGCCCACATGGATTTCCCAACTTGCTTGATCACCCCCTCTTCACCCAGCCATGCCCACCCCTTTTTATTTTTAGACAGTCTTGAAATGTAGTTTAGGCCTCAAATTCCTGCCAATCTTCCTGTCTCAGCCTCCTAAGTGCTAGGATTACAGGTTTTGCCACCACACCCGGTACTGCTCAGCTCCTCTTCCAAGGGTCTTCTTTTTTTTGGTACTGGAGATCGAACTCGTGTCCTTACGCTTGTGCAGCAGACAGTGAAACCACTGAGCTAAATGCCTGGCCCAAGGGTCTTCCTTTTTAATACAACTACCCCGGGGGACTGTATGCCTCGCCATCTCCGCTTGTGGACTGAGACCACAGCCATCTTGGTCATCAAAGGGCCCTCCCAGATCTCAGCACATAGCAAGCACTCAATAAATGTGCTGGACCTAGGTGTGGTGGCACACACCTGTCAATTCAGCACTCTGGAAGGCTGAGGCAGGAGGATTGCAAATTCAAGCATAGTGTGGCCAATTTAGCAGCTTAGCAAGACCCTGTCTCAAAATAAAAACATAAATGGCTGGGGATGTAGAAGGCCTTGTATTCAATCCCCAGGATCACCAAAGATGAATGAGTGAATGAAGGAATGAATGAATGAAAGAATCAGTTTCTGTACTGTGGAGCTTTTCATATCGAACTGTACAGCCTGGCTGTCGAGCCCCATGTGGAGGTCAGCAGAATCCCACCTTCTGGAAAGCAGGTGGGCTCCATTCATACTGGGGACATCCAGTAAGCCAGACACTCCTGACCCAGCTCACGCCAGAACTGGCCATGCAGCAGTGGAGGCAGGTGAGTATTAAATACACAATCACCTGGTGATCATTTAATTGGGTTTCTAGCCAGGCGTGGTGATGCACACCTTTAATCCCAGCACTCAGGAGGCTGAGGCAGAGGGTCTCCATGAGTTGGAGGCCAGCCTGGAATACATGGCGAGACTCTGGGACACAGGGAAAATGGGATCCCAGGGAAGCAGGAAGTGGGTGGTTTTTTGGATTTGGGGTTTTTTTTGAGACAGGGTCTTACTGTGTAGTTCAGGCTGGCCTTGAACTTCCAGCAAGCAATCCTCCTGCCTCAGCCTCTAAATGCTAGGATTACAGGTATGCACCACCACACTTGGCTGGGAAGAAGGTTTTTTTTTTTTGGTACCGGGAATTGAACTTGGGTCCTTGAGCTTTTAAGGCAGGCAGCAGAACCACTGAGCTAAATTCCCAGCCCTAAGGGTGTTTTTTTGACCCTCTGTGTAACAATCATCCAGAACACATCCAAATAGTGAATAATAAAGGCCAAAGCTCCTTAATCTTTTTTTTTTGTTTTTCCTACTGGGATTGAATCCAGGGCCTTGACACTGAGGTACATTTCCATCCCTTTTTTTTTTTTTTGCTGTGGGCATCTGTTACAGCACTGCTTGTTGAAAAAATACTCTTTCTTCATTGACTAATCTTTTTTCCCCCAGTACTGGGAATTGAACTCAGGACCTTGCACTTGCCAGGCAGGTGTGGTGCCACTGAGCTACATCCCAGGCTCTCACTGACTCAGGGGCTTATTTCTGGAGCCTCTGTTCCAGCGATGGTGAACCTTTTAGAGCTTTCAGTGGTACAAACAGCCCACTGTGGCACGTGTGCCACAGGTTCGCCACCCCTGCTTTATTCCACTGCCTTCTACTTGGTCTTTATGCCAGGACTTTACTATCTGCGTTACTGTTACGTTGGAGACAAAGTTCTGCAGCTTAGTTTTTCTCCAAGGTTGTTGTGGTTACAGAATATCAGCTTTAATGTTAAACTCTTCTTTCTTTCCTAGTACTGGGGATTGGAATTGGGGTCACATTGAGCCACCCCCTTCCTTTGCATGTGCCCCATGTTCGTTCGTTCTTTCTTTCTTTCTTTCTTTCTTTCTTTCTTTCTTTCTTTCTTTCTTTCTTTCTTTCTTTCTCCCCCCCCCCTTTCTTTCTTTCCTTCTTTCTTAAAATCTGGCTAAGTTATCCTGACGCTGGCCTACAACTTTTGATCCTCCTGCCTCAGCCTCGGAGCAGCTGGGCTAACCTTTTTTATTTTCCCCAGCTATGAGCGGGCTGCTGTTGGTTATAGTGCATTCTGTTTAGTTTTCTGTATTAAAATTGTGCTAACGGAAAGGGCGATAGCTGGGCGTGTGTAGCAATTAAAAGACGTAAATAAATTAAGAAATGTAAACCCAGAAGAGAAGCCGGTACCCTCCATACTGTCAGTTATTCTTATTGTTGCTGTTGCTTTTTGTTTGTTTTTGAGACAGTGTCCCGCCAGGCTGGGCTCGAACTCACAGCGATCCTCCTGCCTCCGCCTCCTGAGTGCTGGGATGGCAGGCGTCCGCCACCACACTGGCCCTGAATTGAAGGAAGCCGATCCAGTTCCCCGGGGCCCAGCGGCGTCCCTGCCGGCTGGCACATTGCATACCTGGGCCTCGGGTCTCAGTCCCCCCTGCCGCCCCCATTCCACGATCCTGTCCCTGTCCCCCGCCTCAGCCTAGCAGGAGGACAATGGGTGAAGGCTCGAGGGAGTCACGTTCCCGTTCCATTCGGCCACTTGCTGTTCCCTCCTGTTTTCCCCAAAGTCCTTAGTTCCAGAAAAACAGACCCAAAGGGTTCGGTTCTGGGCAGCCCGACGCGCGCGTCCTGGCTGCGGACCCAGGACCTGGAAGCGCGCGGCTTCTGAGCGCCGAGCGCCCTCTAGTGTCCATTCGCGGTAAGGCGGGCCGAGGCGAAACCTGAGATCCTTATTTATGGCCACGAATTTCCTCCCTCCGCTCAGCTTAGCGCGGCTATCGGTGGGGCGCTTTCCGGTCTCTGGTGCAAAACAACACCGACGGTTTAGAAAACAAGTGACATAGCCGCCAACGTGTTCTGAGCATTTTCTAGGTGCTGTGCCCTGAGCTGATTTGCCTGGTCCACCCGCGAGGGAGGGAGGTGGAGAAGCCGAGCTGTTGGGAGGGACGGCTGGAGGTCGAGCACAGTTCACCCAGCTGGACACAGCCCGTCACCGCCATCCCAAGGTTGTTTTTTTTGTTTGTTTTTTGCACCTCTGGGATTCGAACCCAGGGCCTTGCACATACTAGGCAAGCACTCTATGCTGAGCCGCAGCCCCAGTGCAGTTGAGTTTTGGATGTGTTGTTACAAAGCAGGAGCATCCACAGGCAATCCCAGGACAGCTCTAGGCACAGGGCTCTGGCTCACTTGGGAAAATCGTAATATAAGTAAATCCAGCAGATTTATGTCAAGATTTCAGGTGTGGAATCCAAATGAGCCTTTCTCAAGTTTGTGGGAAAAAAGTTATAGAAATTATATAGGTTGAGGTTTTCTTTTCTTTTCTTCTTGATTTTTTGAGACACAGTCTTCCTATATAGTCCAGGCTGGCCTTGAGCTCACTGTGTAGTCAGGCTGGCTTCTAAATTATGGTGATCCTCCTGCCTCAGCCTCCTGAGTGCTGGGGTTCCAAGTGTGCACCACCATGCCTGGCGCTTCTGTCTACTTCTGTTATGCTACCTTTGTTCAAGCTACTCTTTATCCACCTTGACTACCACAGCAGCTTCCTAGATGGGCTTTCTACTTCTGTTTTCATCCACTGGAGTCTATTATTTGTAGAGCAAAGTGCTCCTCAAAATCAGATCGTGCCGCTCCCCTACCTAAGCCCTTCCATTTGACTCAGAACAAAAGCCAAGCTCCAAGCTCGCTGTGGCTTCGCACACCTATGATCCCTGCTACTTGGGAGGCTGAGGCAGGAGGATTGCAAGTTTGAGGCCAGCCTGGGCAACTTAGGGAAACCGTGTCTCAGAACAAAATTTAAGAAAGACTGGGAATGTAGCACAGTGTGGAGCGCTTGTATAGCATGCATGAGGCTCAGGACTCAACCGTCAGCACAAAACAAACAAGCAACAAAACCCAAAAAAACAAACCAAAGCCAATGCCCCACTCTGGCCTCCAAAGCCCTGCGTGATTCTGCCTGGCTTTCCAGTCTCAGCCCATACCCGTCCTCCTCCTCTTTTCCAGCTACATCCTGTTCCTTCAATGCCCCAAGCTCTTTCCAAAGGGTTCCTTGGGAAAGCCTGGTGTGGTGGTGCACACCTGTATTCCCAGCACTCGGGAGGCCGAGGCAGGAGGATTGCTGTGAGTTTGAAGCCAGCCTGGGCTCCATAGTGAGTTCAAGGCCAGCCTGAATCTATTTGGCAAGACTTTGTCTATAAAAACAAGGGGGGGGGTCTTTGGGAAACCCCCTTTCATGCCAAGTCCAAATCTCTTTCAAACCAATTAAATTGTAAAATAAGATTTTTATTCACATAGTCATCAAACCATGCACTCAAATATCCCAAGCTAGATGCATGGCAGACATTTCAACGTTGGAATGTTGAGGATAAGGTGGGATTCTGTGCTTGCAGAGGGTCAGTGAGGGCTTCCACTTCTGCCCACGAGAGACAGGCTGCTCTGGGGATGGGGCACGCCACACGCACAAATAACTAGGAAATGGAACACGATATAGGAAGCAACTGTTTTCATGCCTTGGACAGCAGGTAATGAAAGAGTAAGGTCTCTGAGAGAAGAAAAACACATGAGTTGAACTTCAGAAGTACCCCAGCTCAGTGCCAAGTGAGTCAGGCAGACAGTAAGAGGGGGATATGTGGGCTCCTGATAGGAGCCAGGGGCTCACTGAGTTCAGAAGAGGTTGGAATTCAAAGAAGACAAGGCAGCCGGGGATTTAGCTCAGTGGTTCTGGTGCCTGCCTCGTAAGTGCAAGGTCCCGAGTTCGATCCCCGGTACAAAAAAAAAAATCTAAACAAAGAAGAC